TAAGTACTGAATTCATTCCAAACTTGCGGCAAATTCTCTCAATTTTGTTTAAATTCATTTTTTTTAAATGACATTTAAGCTATATAATTTCTATATTGATTTGTTTTATACGACCGGATGTAGACAATCCTATGAACATTAGACCAACAAATTGACATAAATAAATATTTAGCTGTAATCAAAGATGTTAGGTATGGACAAGCGGACATTGTGATTCATAAAAATATTAAGACAAAGTCAAAAATAACATTTTGTGAAAAAAACATGACTATTTATATTCGGAATGAGATTCATCACTTTGGAATGAATAATAAATGATAAGTTTGTTTTGAACACAAAGAGGAACCGAAACTTATTTTGCGAGCTTTCGAAAAGGTCTGTTTCCTTTGTCAAGCAAAGAGTGTAAATGACCAGTGTCTCGACTGTAAACCGCTGAATAACGTTCAAAACTACGATGGCCCACATCAGCTGTCAAATTAATTTTACTACTCTAAAGACGTTGTGCAACCCCTGTTTGACAATTTGACACGCTGATCTACAGATCCTAAACCATATCACAAGCACAAATATCTACGGCTACTTAGCTACTATCTTCAAATACAACTCTTGATACTGACCAGGAGCCAAGGCTTATAAAATGCATAGCAAATCATCTGTATACTTTGAACATTTAAGCGGCTAATAAATGCATAACAATAATGTCTCTACCCTAGCACGTAAATATTTAACAAAGAAATGCTAATAAATTACAACATTAATAAAGAATAAACTGTAATGTACATATTGTCAAAAAGCGTGTGTAATGTACATTTTGTCAAAACGCGTGAGTACAACATCAATAAAGAGTATACTGTCATGTACAGCTTGTCAAAACACGTGCGTACAACATTTATAAAGACTAACTTGACATATACAGTTTGTCAAAAAGGGGATGTACACAGTCTTTAAAGTAGTAATAGTAATTTGACGGCTGATATGGGCCATCGTACAAAACAACCTTATCATTTATCAGTATTCGTGTATCCTTTTTGGTACAGTTTTAATGTATTTCTGATATTTTGCTGGAAATATAATCAGTCGGCAATGCAAACACACGTGTATGAAAACGAACCCTACATACCAGTTTGAAGTGCCAACCCCGGTGCATAAAGTACTACGCCCATATAGAAAATCTACAAGATAAAAAAAAACATAAGGAAACGGACTATTTAATCAAATAAAAATATTCAGTAATTGCGCTACATGTTATACATACGGGGATGAGAAAGGGACACAACCTACATGTATGTACTGTTGTTGAGTTAGAAACGGTTACTACAAGTTACAAAATGGATGCAGCCAATACCTCTAAGAATGTACATGCATGAATATATGTGAGCGATATCTGTGCTCTCCTCTTCACGAAAATGCAAGCACCGTTTACGCAGCTTCATGGTATTATTTATAACAGGAAAATCTATGGATAAACAATATCTCGTTCATTTGCAAGGAGAGACAACCTCGCAATATAATATTTCGCGAATATTTTGCCGAGCTAAATTAAACAACAGATAAAAATAGGAATAGTTAATTACCAATTAAATACAAAAATAGCGTATATCGAGGTTTTTTACGGGATTGGTATTTTTTTTCAATTGTCGCATCAAACGACTTTGTGAACATATGATTGGAATTGCAAAAAGATATACAAAGCGGAATTTCTGTCTCATAACATTCAACGTTCTGTCTCAAAACACGCTATGTACAAAATCAGTTTTTCATTTGATATACCGGTAAAATCGTTAAATACTGAACAACCCTATGAAACTATTAAGAACATAACACACAGTCAGTATGCCGTATGCCGTTATGTCCAGACTTGTTTCAGCTTGTAGATACCTTTGTATATAATGATGGTAAATTAAACACAAATTAAATAATCATCTATTCCGTCTTTGCGTATTGCAGAGTTATCTTCTCTAGGGAGCAGGTATTGATTGTTACGTCATTGGTTTGTGTGAGAAAGTTACGTCGTTTTCTCAAAAATTGATGACGTTACTCTCACAAACAAGTGACGTAACAATCAATACTTGCTCCCAAGAGAAGATAACCCTGCAATACGCAAAGACGGAATTGAAAATATCTAAAACATCTGTGGCGATCTCTTAAACGATACCATAATTAAAATAATAATAATTACAATAAGAAATTTAAAAAAAATCAAGTTTGAAGAGGTTATTTTTAATTGACTTAACAGGAACAATCCTGATCCAATGGTTATAAGGGACTCCTATTTTTCAAGGCAAGACCAGTACAGTTCTAACGAGAGATACTTTCCTGTGATAGGAACATAATAGGCTTTATGCGTTTCTATTTGCATAACGAAAACAAAGAGACGAAATTGTGAAAATTCAACCACGTTAAAATAACCCAATAAACGATGAATATACATGTAGATGAATATTAAGTGATATACAGTACTTTTTCGAATACCCTCATTCATTTAAAATGTCCTAGTATAAAACATGATACATTGTGACAAACAAAAATCATACAGTTCATTTTGTATCCTAAGTATCTGTCATACGTACCGTCTGAAGCATTCCAATCATGGTCCCCAAAGTACGGACGGCTTTCGAACGGAACCGGAGTTGAAGATACTATATGAACAAAACATTCAATAGTATAAACATTAAGTTAAATATTCAATATCCTGATCAAGTTCCTTCAAATACAGAGGAGCATTTAGAGCCTATTATCTATATATACATCAGAAGCTGGTACTGGTACATGTAGCATACAGGTAACCAACGAAGGTAAATCAGTATCAAATTGGTCTGATTTGATTTTGATTTGATTTTGAAGGTTTCACGTCCGCTTTTACGGCCTTGTGGTCTTTCAGTAGACGAGAAGAGATAGAAAAGGAAAATAGAAGGGACAAAGTATACAGAATTCCGAACTCTCTGAAGACTGTTAGTTTATGGTCAGATATACCATACAAGTGTTTTTGCTATAAAACTGTCGAAGTGCACATCAATGAGGCTGTCTGCACAACATAGTCGCCAACCATTAGCTACAAATCTCGTGTCTCATCAATGTACAAGTATTTTCTCGTTTACGGAAAGTGCCGACGGTTCCCGATTGCCTTTAGCTGCTAATCTCGTGTCTTATTCTACATGTGCTTTGTTTTTAAAACAATGTATTCAGCCTCATTCTGATTAAGCTGCAGCATATTGGAACTCATTGCGACATGAATGCCAGACTTGCTGATCAGGTAGTCTGTAAATGTTATATTTGTGAGTCACTAATTAGTATAACAGAGATATTGCAGATTGTGGCGGCGTCATCGATTGGTTTGAAATATGGACAATACTGTCGCGGACTTAGCACCGACCCCTGAGGAATGCCCAATCAGTGGGTTATATCATCAAATGAGGTCGTCACTAAGGCAATACACTGTTATCTGTCATATAAATAAATAGGACTGGATCCAGCAGAAGACGCCACCAGATATTCTTTAAGAGCAATTTAAGGTGTTCGAAAGTATGTCATGGCCAATAAGTAAAAAAAAAGGGGGGATATCCTAAATATTAAATAGCAAATATAATAATCTCACGAAAACAGCAACTGTTACAATATCTACCACTTTGGGAATCGCAGAAAAAAAACCTGTGGCTAAACACTTACCTCGTATGTACTGGTGAGTCGTAACGGGTACAGTAGAGGAACTACTGTAACACTCGCTACCATCGCAGACAGAAAGTAAGGAACAGCAATGTACACCCCGCGAATTCCGTATACGTATATGTCCGCTGGAACGCCCATAATTGAAATTGCTGATGCAAACGTCACAAACAGGGATAGTGCTACTGGTAAAAGCAAAAGACGGCGATTTCCGAGGAAATAATTCTCCAATGTTGGGTTTTTGTCGGTTTGGAAACCATAGTAAACGCCGATCCCCATACAGATACATAGAAAAACGGCAATAACGATAAAGTCGGCGATATGCGGACTAGGAACGGGAACAAAAGTTAAATCCATCTTTTTTCTACCATGAATGCGACAAAGTCAACAACCAGAGGAGGCAACAAAAACGAGCAAGATGTTAACTGGAATCTGTGACATCTGTTATCCTTGCCATCAATATAAAAATGCGAAAATCAAATTTGAAACATGCATATTCAATCCAGAATGTAAATCACCAATGGCAGTGATATGCAGTACCGTCCCAATCTCGCCAGTACCAATTTGTCTTAGTCAAACAATGATTTGGTTCCAGTAGCCCTTATCAAAATAGTAGCAGACATTGGCAAGTTACAGTATTATCTCCTCGAGAAAGGTATTTGATAGCAGTTCTTGTATCTCTAACACATATACAATGGTCAAAGAGGAAAAGTTTGTGTTAAGTTTTATTTTTTGGTATAATGAAGCTATAATGAAATACAGAAACATCTCACAAACGTGAAAGATAACAAATATGAAATGAATTGTTTTTTACAAACGTATGTATTAAATACATAATTTATTGACATTTATTTTATTGTGCATCTTAATATATATATAAGCTAATATTCATCGCAATAACTTAGTCATTAATAGTAAATAAATGTAAGTTATTTAGAACCATTACATGATCCACTTTCAGCCATTAAGTAGGAGACCATCTGCGGATTCCGTTTATAGACATAACGTCTGGTAGTAACTACCGGTTAGAATTTAATGACATGCATATTTTCTTAGCTATAAAAGTTCTGTGACTATTTTGTACTACATATCTACACATGTTATTTTGTAAAACATAAACAAATGGTTACAATGAAAATGTATATGGGTCAAACCTGTATAAGATTTCACGTCTATGTCGTTGTTTAAATACACTCGGTGTGTATAGTAGGAACCTGTGTACAACGATTTGGCCGAGTGCCCAGCAAAATTCTGATAAACAAACAACAAGAGAATCCCGAAGAGTAACACGACCAAATCCGAAACCGTCGAAACTATGACAGCTTATGAACGAAAGAAATATGAACACGCAGGTCTTTGAAGAGGTGTCAAAAATGGTACAAGGATACTGAGATCATGCGTTCCGGAAGGGTAAGCGACTTCTCCTTCATCGACAACCCCCGCCANGGGGGGGGGGGGGGGGGGGGGGGGGGGGTAATTCTAACAGAATTGATTTAAAATGCCGACGGTAAACTCATTTGTACACACACAAAAAGGAGAGAAAACGTAGAAATACAATCTAGATTATTTTCCACTTGGCTTGATATCAAATAGGTCCACATTTTTTTGGTTTGTTTTAAAGGGGTAACGTACTGTGCCGGTGGGTCCAATATTTTGAAACATCTTCATTTTGCCACGGTCGCTTTTTATTTCTTTTTAAATTCAAAGACCATATGTTTCAAAATACAGAATAATCATCATACTGAGTTTTGTATCCATTTAATTATTTCCAATCGCTACGATATAAGTAGTGTTTTGCTCCGACAAATGAGATTCAGAGATTGTAGTTTGTGCAAGATGTCCAAAAGGAGATTTTTAAGGAATTTTGTACGGAGAGAGTTACCTCCCCTCTTTGGAGCTCTCCTAATATTTTCTGATTAACCCGCCCATTTCAAACGACGAAGAGGATTTGTAAAAAGGTAAACAATTCTAAGCAAAGTATATGACTATCTGCATTGCCCGGATCATATTTCTTGAAACAAAATTATTGGAATGCTTAAGTTGAATAAATTTTCCTGTGATCATTATGCTGCATTTAGGAAATCTATTACAGCGCAGCAATCAAAATTTAAGGATTTTTATATCTGTTTTTAACTCGTTTTAATTGTACATCGGCTATCGTGGATGGTTTTTACCTCCCGCTATGCGCAAACTATTGACAATAATAAGTGATCTGGGGTCTGACCATGGGGGTATTTTTTTTCATTCTGGGTCATATAGGAACGTGTCAAGTCCCTGTGGACGCAATACATAAAAAAACATCTCTCGTCGTCAGAAAGCTACGTTATCGCAGCTACCAGCACACATACATGCTTTTACTGCATAAATTTGGTAAATAAAAAAGCTTAATCGCACATAAAAGGACGTCAGAGTATTCTCTACCCAAACGCATCCTCTCTAGTCAACTCAAGACAAATTTGTGTACAGCCAAAGTCATAAGTTAAAGGTCGTTTTGAGAATAAAAGTGTAACATGTACAGGAAAGAAAACTGCAACAGCAGGGATTTTAACCAAACCTGGATCTTTGAACTCTAGACAGATGCTATAGCGCTCTAACAAATATTAATTAAGGTACCTGATTTGCTTGCAATTGAGCCAATTAAGGTGCATGCACTACTCTATATATACAGTAGCTGTAATAATTATAATATAATGGGAAGTTTTGAAAGTGGTCTTTAAACACAGGTGAACTTTATAGAAGCGGTCTCTCGAGCAAATTCAAATGTATAGTATTTTGGTATAATTCATGTTCATACATTTGTAATTAATGTATGCAGAATTAGCCTGAGTTTCCTCTGGCCCTGACATCAGGCTTAAGATATTTTGACAGATAGATGTATGCATGTCTACCAGATATCTTTTAGTCTGTTGAGGAAACTCGGCTTATATAAATATATTAATGGGCGCAGATTGTACTTAATATGAATAAAATGAGCATTATTATGACTCGTGTAATTTATGAACCGTTCTTTTAAATAAGTCAGATGAAATCTTCCGGAAAATCTGAAATAGAAATATATATATTGTACTCTGACTAGTATTCAAAAAAATAAATGTACCTTTTAGATCTCATTGTCAGCATCATAATTTTGTCATTTTCAGAAGCTAGATATATAGAATCAACCCAAGTGAGATGTCAAATTACAGCGGTCAATCAGGAATTCCTCTTAGGATGTCCAAGAAGGCACCAGAGGAGGCTAAGAAGACATTTACAACTTACATCAAAAGCAAGCAACAATCAACAGCTGTAAAGAACAATCAGTTCAGAAAAGGGTACTTATATTATATACCGGTAATATAACAGTGTTTAATCTGGTAACGGAAATGGAAAATGGACCCCATTCCAAATGCTAAAAGGACATTTGTATTCCAAAATGGATTTTGAATTTCCAATCAATAAAAGGAAATCATGAAATTTCATTCCCAAACTCACATTGTGACTATGCAAGAATATAAATTATGACACAAGCAATCTAATGATTTGCATGATATTGCCATAGGGTCAAAAATATTTATATATGTGTTATATCTGTTCCATTAGGGTTTTAATTGTAGGTAGATATAAATATATCTTTTGGAATTTAAAGATTTGTAGGTAAAGTGTGTATTAAAATGTTTTTTAACTTGAGACATTTTTGATTACATACAAAGCACTAGTACATGTACCATCATATATAACAACACTTCCATTTGTTCAATGGGGTCTCGGAGATTTATCAAGGTATTTTGGAGTTATTAATTGTTGATTATTTTAAAATTAATTTGGAATTTGTCTTGAGAAATAGCTTTGAACAATTATGATGATTTTTTTTTCAGATTTTCTGAGAGAAGAACAGAGAAAGAAAAATTCCTGGATGAGGCATCTAGGCTTCAAAATGAACTATCAGATTACAAGGAAGGCGTGACAGTAGCACAGCAAAGGTTGGACCAAGAAAGAGTAGGTTTCACTAGGACAAACAAGTTAGTCCTCCACTGGCACTAGGGATAAACCGGTAAACATAGTTGGTCCAAAGTATTTTTCCTTCAATGTGGTACATTTTAGTGCAGTAAATGTTGTAGATGGTATAATATGGGGGTATTATTTCATCACGGGCCAATGGGAAAAAGGGTTGTTTGAAAGCATGTTTCTGATTGGTCAAACTCTCTAGATACAAACCAAAAGAGTACGACCTTACTTTGTTATATATCCTGTAGTGTGACAGGAAAAAAATCTAAGATGGCATCGGCAAACTGTTTGAGAGATGCTCCTCTATCTCAACAATGATTATAATTATCTTACCATTTATCACTTTGGTTTCAAAACAAAGGATTCAACAGCAGTAGTTGCAGAAATAGATATTTAGATTATTTAAGGAGACTCAGGATGATCAATACTCATTTTAGATATTTGGTAGAATACAACAATACCAAACAGAAAAAAATGTATCGTTGAAGTAACATTGCAATACTACTGGTGAAGACTAACAGTGTCTTATTTTGTCAGCAGCATATGCATATTTCGGAAACTATGATCATCACTTGAAATTTTACCAAATTTTGGTATATGAGTACCTCTTTGGTTATGTCCCTTTGTTCACTGTCTATCACTTTGACCAGATCAGATATCATATTCCCACCACCTATAATTAACAAATTTGTATGCCAGTATATACCTCGCGGGTTGGGGGAGTACTGAAATCAGGGATTGTGCCTCACACTAGCAGGTTATTATCCTTTCTCCACTGTGTAACCAAATCGTTTTCGGTAAAAGTGATTTTGTTTGCTAGTTTTACAGCTGAACACTGCTTCATTTTCCACAAATGAAGGGGAAAAATAAGAACGTCTTCCCAATTTCAACAAAATGAATGCTATATTTTCCAGATTCATGAAGGAACAGGCTGTGTAGTAAATTCTATATTCAAAAAATGTTTTGGTATATTTTAAATTATCTGCAATTACCATATGTTATATTGGTGAGGACTATCAGGGACATTTGATCTAGAGTGTCGTGTACTGAAGTTGTGTCTTGTGCCCTAGCAGCCCTACTATGTAAAGAGTTTTGTCCCTTAGATTTTTTTCAGTACCAAAGTTTGTCAGAAGATGGACTTGTTGTTAACTAAGTCTGGAATTTTATTTTCAGCTTCTCCTTTTGACATGAATATTTGGTTACTAAATCTTTCTAGATGTGAATGCTTTGAATATCATACATAAAGAAAAATCGGTACAGTTGGTTATACATTGTATTACTAAACAGACAATATCTTCAAATCATATTTGGAAAACACTAAAAAGTTAAATATGGAACACTTTGCACTCCTAGATGTCTGTTGCAGAATTGCCAATTTTTCATTTTAGTAACATAAGCCTTCAAGATGGGAAAATAAAAGCCAACAGATAAAACTTCACTTATTCTTGTTCAATTTTATAGGAAAGATTGTCAGAGCTTCAGAAGTGTGCAGAGGAAAAGGAAAACCGTTTGACAGGTAACATGAGTGATTGAGTGTACTGTACAACTTAAAGCTGACATGGTACAAGTAAAAAAGCTTTCAATTGAGATTTAAAAAAAAAAACAATCTTGATAGAGATCTTCCCCATCTCTTCCGACTAACGTTTCTATTAAAGGAAATGTCAACATTTTACTGGTTTGACAGGTAATGCGCTTTTCATATCCAGCAAGACCCATACTCGCTACCAAGCAAGGACAAACTAAAATGTTGGCACTCCCTTAGAAACCATAGTCGGAATAGATGGGGAAGATCTCAAAACCCTTTTTTTGGTTTTTTTAATCTCAGTTGAAAGCTTTTTAACTTGCTCTGTCAGCTTTAAGTTTCTTGATGACAATATAATATAACATATTAACAAGTGTGTCACAGTGCTCCAGATAGCTTGCCTGAATGTGTATTCACACACATATTTTCATAAATTAAGCAACGAAAAGAAATTGAATTCACATCATTCAGGCCAATTCCGAAACATTGCATCATTATGCAACTCTAATTTAACTGATTAAAATTATTCACTTACACTTACACGGTGAATTGAATGCTACCTTTATAATCATATGCTAATAAACCCCTGATCATCTAAAATATTGTTGTCCATTAAGTCGGTGTTTTTCTTCATTAACAGGTGAAATAGAGGAGCTACGAGCAAAGAATATAACCATGGAAGAAAAAACGTAAGAGTGCTTCATAGACTGATCTAAGTGAGGTAGAATTTATTGTTAAGTATGTACTTGTACAGTGGTTTCACTTGTAGCCAAAAAACTGGCAAATGGAGTACTATGAAATGAAGTGAAGTACCAACTGCCTACATTGTGTTGGTTACTCTAATTTAAACCCCAATATGATTTAGTTAGTCAAAATCACAATTGAATAATATTGCAGTTGTTATTTTTGTTTAACATTAGGGTGACATCTTTCAGCAGCCAAGGAATTCCACATTTTTCACTCCTATACAAGTTAAATGTCTGATAGAAAACATTGCTACCTAGCTAAATAAGAGGCCACTAAGTAGTATTGTAATTATATATACGAGTATCTTATGTCTCAGTATGAAATAAATACATGCAGAGATGTTTATAGGTATAAAACACAGAGTAGGAAGAATTAGATAAATCATCATAGGTTTCTAGGTTTTTGAGTGAGTGGTTTGTGAATAGCAAGCCAGCAACCAACTTTTACGAGGAATATGTATACATGTAATGTACAATCAATGTTTTTTCTACGTAAATTATTACAATAGCCGGTTCCTTCATGAATTAGGAAAATATAGTGTTGTTTTTACTGAAATTGGGAAGATATTCCTCATTTTTTGGTTATTTTTGGAAAATAAGGCACTTTTTATGCTATGGGAAACAGACTGTATTCGGATGTAAAACTTGCAAAGAAAAACTCTGACAATTGCATGCGTTTGTTTTTTTTTAGATGCTCTGATATGTTAATATTTTTCTAGATTGAAATGACTATTGGAATTCATATATAAAAAAAGGTATATTGTACTTATTCAGTGTAACAGTTATCTATAATATTAAACTACATGTACCTTTTTAATTATCTTATATACATAAAAGAGAAACATCTTGTTCCCTTAAATTATATGCATACTTATGTATATGGTAATACAAGTACTGGAGACGATTTACTATATATACCGGTTAGGGTTTGCCTGTTATCTTATGCAGCGGTTTACCGATTTATACTATAAAAAATGTTTCTTTATTTACAGGACAAGTTATGAAAAGAAGCTGCTTTTGTGCAACATCAATCCAGGTACAGTACTCATAGCAGAGATATCCAAGGAGTCATAGGATAACTGTAATTATAGCTGATTACAGAGCTAGACATTCTATTTTGAATACCACTAGTCAGTTGGGGTAGAAGTTTCCAATTTTGATCAGTCCATGTGCAAATTCAACTAACCCAATATTATTCAACAAGATTAGCAAAATCAAAAAAGAATTTGAGGCTGATCATAAAATATCAGCAGAATATAAGTACACTTTATCAATAGTGATCATAATTAGTTTATGCTTTATCTCTTGTAATCATTATTTATGTTATGATTTGAACTTACAAGATGTATTTATAGTGATCATACATTGTATGTGCTTTTTATTTAGTGATCAGAAAATGTATATATATATGTATACACGTTTTGATCAACCTGAAGAGCCCTGTGAAGGGTGAAAGCAGCTAGTTTTTTAGTCGGTCGTTAATTTTATTTTTTCAACGTTTTGATCATATATACATGCACATACTTATCATGTATTGAGCTTAAAATGCATATATATATGTGGTGGTCAAATTTTATATACACTTCATTTACAGTGGTGATCTTAAAATGTCTACTTGTGATCATTATAGATGTCTTGTACATGTAATTGGCCTACATTTTAGGTATCCTTTGAGACCTCTACCTACAGTGATAATACATTGTATATATATTTTGTGATTGAACAATGCTTATACTTGATACCGAATGAACTTACAATGTATTTATGTGAAGTGATCCTACTATATCTGTAGTGATAATACATTGTATTTATATTTTGTGATTGTACAATACTTATACTTGTTACCCAATGAACTTACAATGTATTTATGTGAAGTGATCCTACTCTATCTGTAGTGACGTTAGAACACATGACCGAGGACCAGTCACAAGCAGATGTACTGACCAAGAGAAGGGAAGCAGCCAGGGTAAGTTTGTGTTGAACACAAATAGAAATTCAACATTGCTACAGTTTGTTGTTGTAAAACATGATGTCTAATTGAATGATATGTTGACTTATCAATCCATCAGCACACCCACCCAAATGGTAGTTAATCTTAACTCTTAATAAGGCAAGTACTTTGTTTGCATTTAAGCCCGTGTCTGGTAATAAGCCCATCCTTATCTATAATAGTTATAAAGAAATGCCGCCAAGTGTTATACATTTCATTGTCCTTGAATCAAGTCCACCAACCTACTTTTAGTTTAGAGATTATGTGTTGTCTAATTTTGTTTTGCTAAATAATGAATTTTGAGTAGATGAAGTAAAGAAAAACTTTGTGCAGTCAAATATTGTCAAGATTTTCTATTAAGTTTTCCAAATCTAGATTCAGATTTGAAAAATTCTTAATTCAACCACAGGCTTCCATCTTGGGTTGCAAAATCTTGACTAAAAAAATAATTTTTCACCAATCTACATAGAAATTCTAATATGAAAACTATTGTTTATATGCACAAATGTTGTTTTTTAATCTATTTTTTGTAGTATTTTTGTATAGTGATCGGTACATGTACCTGGTACTAAATTATGACAGTAGGATGATGGAAACTACATGTGTTAACATTGTTCCAAATATTTATAGATGATTGTATGGGTTTTTTCAGGAGAATGTGGGATTGTTGAAGAAAAGAGTTGAAAGCTTGAATGAAGAATCATCAAAATTATTTGAAAATATGAAGGTATGTCCTAAAATATCAAATTTACTTTGAGTTTATAATTTAATTGAAACATTTCCTATACTCATGCAGATCCTACCTTCTGAATGGGTTGAGTCAGATATTGCTTTTGTGTGGGGAGGGGGGATATTTTTCATGACATTTTGGACCAATATATGATACAAAAATATGCATCTTCTTAGTTTTATCTCTGAAAATCCGAATTAGAAATTGGATGATTTATATTGGTTTTATTCAAGAAAAAAAATCTTAAAAGATGTTGTCATTTTGGAATGGTGTTTTAGTACTATAATTACTCAAGAATTTGAATTATGTAACATTGAAAATGTTTTGATTTAATTTCAATATTTCAAGCGCATGAAGTTTAAATCTGACAGCTGTAAATTCACAACTGATGTCTTTCCCACAAAATATTGTGTTGAAATAAACTCTGAAAATTGGTCATAAGTTACCTCCCTTGCACTGTAGAATATCTTTCTGGGGAACTTTCACCTACCTTTGGCCTGAGTAAACTTCGTTCATTTGCCATTTTCAGAGATAAACAAAAGTAATAAGGTACATGTATATAGATCCCTTTAAATTGGATAAATATCTCGTTAATCATCACATGTGTAATCTTTAATATATGATTCGGAAAGTTATCCTATATTTTAACCAATTTCTCAATTTCTATATGTTAAGGCAATTAGACAAAAGTAACAGTTTCCTCACTCTCCTGTCTTCTGATTTTACTTGTTAGTAATCAACTCTTTAATGTATTTCAACTTCATCATGAGTGTAATTAAGGCCTGCATCTGTGCTGTGTTTAGTTTGTGCTACAAAAAAAACAATTCCCTAAACAAATTGTGCAATCAATTTTCAATAAGCTTTAAAAAAAAAATTTCTCTCCAGCTTTGGGTTGTCATATTATTGTTAGATATTTGATCAGAAATTTTAAAATTCTGATCAGGAGAATTAAACCTTTAATCAGGAAAGTTAATTTTGATTAGGATACGAAACAATTTCAAACTGGCACATGAAAAAGACAATAAACCGGTCTGAATAGGTGGTTAGTTATTGAAAGGAGTTTGAAATCTATATACCTGGGAACTTTCACTTACATTTGGCCTGAGAAAATTTCACACTTCATATGAACTTATCATAAACAGTGTACTAATATTTGCTGTCATGAAAAAACGTCGAAAATTAAACTGCAGGGGAAAGTTTCCCGGTAAACACTATTTACTTTACATAACCTATCTGACACATAAAACACCCCTTTATATGTTAGTTATAGGAAAATCATGGGAATTGATTTTAAATAAACTTTCTGTTTCACAGAATTTAGGTGCTGACATTGACAAAATCGCTGCAGATGTGACATTACCAGCAGAAGAAACATGAACAACCAGAATACATAACCACCAGAACGTTTCTAACGACGAGACGCTATGTTCCGTCAGAGGAAATGTGAAAAGATGTCCGGGTTGCCATTAGAAGGGGAATTGTTGGCTGTTTTCTTCTGGACCTTCTTACTGTGAACTTAAAAAGAAAAGTTGTTGAGAAGATGGAAAGTGGCACTAAACCAAATTTGCCAAATTCATAATTAGATAATTCTTAATGACATTTCATGTTGTGTTTGACATTTTTTGCACATGATATCCTGTGTTATAAATTGCGGGGAAACATAAACATGTATATATATAAATGAAATGTTTTGATAAAGCTGCCATCCCTGATTGATAAGATTTCCTATTGGACTTATAAGTGTATGGATCTAGACAGACAGAACATTAGACGTCAATACAGGTGTGGCAGTGTTTCTGTTGGAATCATATACATGTATATATATATGACAACTATCAAATTTCATTGTAGTTATCTCCCTTTACACGGCTACATTATGTGCTGTGAAATGTTGTACATGTATCGCAAGTGATGTATACGTACTGTGAATAATACTTGTTTTGATTACTGGAGGATTTAACATCCTTTTTACCCTGTGAATAAATACTATATAAAGTACCACTGCTACATTCACCAAACTTGTATATTATAAATAGTGCTATCGTCACTAATTCTATAAAGATTAGATCTTGGGATTGACTGCAGTATGAACATTGAATTACAGGATTGTTTTGCCTGTTAAACAAGAGGGTGAATTCAATATTAGATATTGAAATAAGAATATAATAACATATTTATTGTCTTGGATGTAGAAAGATATGAAGGTTAGTTTCCTAAAAGTTAATCATACTTTTAATAGAGAAAATGATTCAGCGATGGAGAAAAACCTTCATATCTCCGGCTATTACCAGAGATTATTTTTATTTTATACTGAAAACCCAAACTTACATAGCAAAAATAAATAATTCATCTTTCTATTGAAAAAAAATCACACATCCTCTGATCATTTTGACATAGGCATGAAGGTGTTAGTGATAACTCTATTTGTGTTTTTAATTTTATATTTCGCCATGTCTAAACAATACATCAGTATCTGTCTGTAAAACAAAACTAGAGTCTGTAATTAGGAGAAATATTCTTCCAAATAAAGTATATAGCTTATTCTCCTTCTTCCTTCCTTTCTTACTGCAGTCATTATGGTTAGATATTGAATACCAGAATATCAGGAGTTATACAGTTGATAAAAACATGTTTTCACTGGAAATATCATGATAAGATAATACTTGCAGTATTTTCCACTCAGAAAGGTACTTCCTATTTTCAGATTTTCAGTTTCAAGTTCAGGTGAACAGAAGCAACGGCAGACTAAATGTTATTTAGTACACCTTTGTAGCCTACATTATGGTATTTACATAACTACACCAATGATATTAGTTTTGTTTGGAAATCTTACCAGATAATAGCAGAATTGCGTTGATTAATTAACCAATTCATAATGACGCTCTGCCTTGTTGTCAAGTGTGACAACATTAGAACCTAGTGTCTAATTTAACTAATTTTTCTTTTGAATAGAATGAGATTAGTTGTTTAAATATTTGATGCAAAAAATGTGATTTTACATTTCAATTCATTATTATAATACTTTGATTAAAAAAATGGATGGTTTTATTGATTAACTCATTCACCCCTTGACATTTTATAATGCACTATTCCAACCTTTGAATTGGAAGAGTTCAAATGTGTCTTCAGGGGTGAATGAGTTAAATACCACAAATTAGATAAAAACATCAACTGCATCATGTGTAGGATGTATAGGGCCTTCCATGGAGGTCCCAGGTACAAAATTCCTTTCATTTATCAGTTTTAAGATCTATAACATATAGATCGCATGCTTTTCTGTTTGATTATATTCAATGTAATTGTTCTTTTGTTGATGCACTTTTCATGACTGAAATTAATTTCTGAACTTAGTGTTAATGTTATTGTAAGTGTAAAAGAACATCATATACATATCTGTTAGAAAAAAAAAAAACTGAAAAGTGCCATGTAATAACAAAAAATACTTTGATACGAGAAGCCATTACAGTCAACTCTGTTTGTGTGTAAAATCTCTGACATAAGTGCTTGAATTTGTTGGTGCCTCCCCCCAATTATTTTGTTAAAAATAAAATTGGACTTGAGCAAGACTACAACTATAATATGGTAATACATCTGTAAAATGTATATAATAAATATCCTATAAATGTCAAACTTGATTTTTATGACAATCAGACAAAACTGACAATATACCCATGCATAAAAATATCGACCTGTTGCAGTCAGCCCAATAGGCCCAGGTTCAATCAACGGTGTCACTGCCTCGCTTAGATTCTTCTGTGTTAAAATTAAGTTGTTGGGTTCATCAAGCAGGTTCTTAATATGTTAAAAATGTTTCTTTGTATTTTCATGTGTTAGACAATGTATCTTTAATTAAAATTATGGGAAATTTTACTAACATTTATGAACATTAAAAAGAAAAAATCATACCAAGTAAACAAATCTTGATTTAAGATATCTTATTTGACAACCCTGATCTATTGAATTTTGAATTACAACACTTACAACATCATTTAGTGTTTTGACAGCTGAAAATATCGGCGAAAAAAATGACATGGATCTGTTGGGGTTTTTTCCCCAACAGGGAAGTTGACTATACTTAAAATCGGAAGTTACTTTGCTCGATGTCAGTGGGTTTTTTTCAAAACTTCATTGCATGCACAAATTTCCCAACCCGCATCAAACAAACAAAAATTGTAATATTTGCAAATTGATGTGGAATTTATTTGATTGCATTACAGTTTTAAACGTTATTGTGAAAATTGTCATCAAGCTAACATTTTATTGGCGATTGATCCCAGGAAAACATCAAAAACCCAGAAAGAGCATCATAAATTATGTTTTCACATTTTTGTGACATATTTCGAGGATGGATGACATCAAATAGCAGCAAATCTCTCCCAACAACATGAATAAATTGAATTTTCATGAGACAAATTCTTAACAGACGGAAGTAATTATTCGTTTTACTAATATTATAAATGAAAAACCATTCAACTGATATTTCCGTTCATGTGTGAATAAGGTTTGCGGTCTTTGGTATTGTGCAATAAACATTTCATATAAAGTCAATAAATCTTTTGTTCGTGCGTCCAGTAAATTCTGGAAAATTCTCTTTTGAAAGCTCAAAGGAAGCATACGTGTCGCAGCTTGATGTTGTCAAGATAAATTATCAGAGTTATTTCCCTTGTGTGTGCGCATGCTCACATAAACAGCCGAATACTTGTTTTGCAAACATCATGGCGTCTCGTTCGAAAAAATTCGAGGACTTAAACCTTTCAAACGATGAGGTGAAGAAACTAGGAGAGGCTTTAAAAAATGAGGAATTTCGGAAATTATTCGCCGAGTATGCAGAGGAGATTTCTGATCCTGAAAACAGGAAACGATACGAGGCAGAAATTCAACAACTCGAAAATGAGAAAGGTATGGACGTGCAGTTTATTCATCCAACCCCTGGACACGTGCTTAAAACAAGCATCGATGGCAACAAAAAGGCATTTATTAACATTTGTCATTCTGATAAAATTCAAAAGCCAGTGTCGCAGCCTCAAGTCGATAGTGATGGACGGCGTGGCATTAACTGGCAAATCCCACATTCGCATGTTCCTCCAAGGGACGATGTTGACAAGTCGAAACAGAAATGTCGGGTATTTGACGTTGTTTTCCACCCCGACACCTATCGCATGGCTGATAATGACAGGTTTAGAAAGCTCGTTGAAGACACTGCAATTGACGGCATCGAAAGTCAGTTTGGGTGTAAAGTTGACAGGACCAATCTCAAAAGAATGTCCAACATAAAGTTTAAGGGTACACCAACAGCATCCATAATTCGGTCAAGAACAAAAGAGGGTCCAAAAATAGGAAAAGACGATATTCTAAATAGCATGCCTTATCCTTACAGCGACCAGACTAGTAAAGAGAAGGCTGAAAAAATGGCTAAAGATGTCAAGGAAAAAAAGAAAACCTCTAAAACTGTCAAGTTTGATGATTCTGAGGAACCTAAATACACAATACTGCATCGCTCTGATTTGGATTTACAGGAATATAGAAATTCTCCAGACTCCCGACCAAGTACTAGACCAAAAGAGCTGGAAATAACGATATTCTTGCCTCTATTGTCATCAGCTAAAGAAGTTGACCTTGATGTGTTTGAGCAGAAGCTGACTCTGAAATCCGAGAACCCAGCAAAATACAAGCTTGACTTGAAGTTGCCTTACCCAGTTGACGATGACCAGGGGAGAGCCAAGTTTGACAAAATGAAAAAATGTCTTGTAGTAACACTGCCCGTCATCCCCGATAAAGTACCCGAGATGCCACAATTTGATGGAGTGACTACAATAAATGGTGTCGCTGATGGTGTGGAGGATTCTGAAGGCCTTGTTGCACCACTTATTCAGGAAATTTCAAGTAACGAAATCCCTACAGAAAGTTCAGCTGAAACAAACGGTGATGAACCACCTCCCTTGGAGGAATTGACGGACACGGTTGTTGAGACTTCCAATTTGATTGAAAGTGAAGCAGCAAAGTCGTCGACTGCACAAGCTAAAGTAATGGACATTTCATATTCATGTCCTGAGTTTACATTCAATCAAGATCAAGGTGCAGTAACCTACATTCTTGCTGTCAGAAATGTGAAAGTTGAAAACATATCAAAATCATACAGTTCAAAGAACATGCTGCATCTAACACTGGTGTCTATAGGAGACGGAGGGTTTCCTTTGCATTACAGCTTCTGCGTCAAGTTTGCAGAGGACCACACTTTTGTGCCGGAACACTGCAGCGTTGATGTCAGCGATATGAATGTTGTAGTCCTGTTGCTGAAAGAGCGCAGCTGTAGAGGCATCTGGGATGCCTTCCTTGCCGGGTCGTCAAAAGACAATTTACAGGTATTGTTTTAGTATACGTGTAGCATGTTGCCAGGGTGTACAATTTCATAATTCCTGAGTACCAATACTAGTGAGTTGTCTGGAGGCATATTTCTAAATCAAATTACATTAGCTGTAATATTGAATGTTTTCACTAATCCAGATGAAATAAATCTGCTTGCAAATAAATATGGTAGTGGAATTGTACACCTTGTGAGTGTGATGTAAATTTATCTTACTTAAATAATAAATATTAACATTAACCATTCAAATGAAACGGTCCTATTTCCTGGAGAACAAATAACATTTGATATTTAAAGCCTTCTCAATTCAAGACTTTTAGTGGAAAATATAGAGTCAAAGTATGAGATTGAGGGATGCCGCAGGTTTTTGGGTCATGGCCTGGTCGAGAGAAATCGGAAACTTCTTTAACTTCTGTAATTCTTACAGATTATACTGATACAAATTAAAGATATCAAGGCATTTTTTAAAAACAGTTTCCAAAAACCTATGGAAGGCATCCACACTTTTACCAGTGTGAGATATCCTTGCATTGTCTCACCCTAGGGTTGAGGGGGGATTCCCCTTTTCATAACAAAGGTTGGTATGATGTCACCTCAACAATCCAGCAATGTCACATCAACCCTGAACTAATTAGCCTGTAATGTTAAAATAACATTATGTTTATTATACAGTACATAATGGGTGAACAGGACAAGAGAAAAGGAATCATTCACCCCCTTGAGGGTGAAAGCCTCCTGTTTGGCAACTTACGAATCTTCCCCCCTCAGGTTGAGATTTCCCTATCTCACCCCAAAGGGGGTGAGCTATTCTATTAATTTTGTCTGGGATTTTACATTTGTCTTGCACACAATAACAATTGAGAAGAACCTTAACCAGGTCAGTGTGATGCCACCCATCTCTTATCTGATTGGCTAAAATATTTCTAGTCTGTATAATAATAATTTGAGCTTCGATTCTTATATATATATATATAAACCGCTTTATGAAAACCTAGGTCGTAGGTAGTCTCAAAGTGGTTCACAAATTATTATCAATGGTTATGATTATCGGGCCTTTGCAACCAGCCATTAAATATCATTCTCAACTACCTGGCCATGGGGAGTATATACAGCCTGTGCTACCATGCATTTCGGCACTCGCAGCTAGCATTCAACAGTTCTAGCACTACTCAACCACATACTCATTTACAGCTGAGTAGACTGGAACAAACGAAGTAAAGTATCTTGCTCAAAGAAACAACACACTTTTTTTACACAGTGTAGTGATCTACGTGACTCGATCCCGCAACCATTACCGGCAGCATAGCAATAACAAAATCAGTCTAATAAGTCAGTTACTGATAATCCTGCATTATATTATATAGCTGTTCTGTAGGAGTCCTAAATTTAGCTGTGAAGTAATTATAAACAACACACACTTTCTTCTTAACAAGCTAATATAACAATTGATATTTTAGATTATGGGAAACCGCATCTTTGCTAGCCAAGTGTTCGCTTCGTATACGCTCCACTTACCCTTGTCGGATATAGCTGTTTTCTCATAATTCCCTCTGAGTTATCGCTCTTCTCCCAAAACACTTTTAACCAATCAGAATGACTGTTACATACACACTCCGTTGGCGTGTTGACAAAAGCAAGTGTATGTCGAGGCGAAGTATAAATGACAGAGCAATATATATATAGAAACAATCCAAAGGCAGCACACATATTTTCCCAGGTCATTTACATGTGTCACGTAGTCGATTTTCACAAGGATTTCCACCAACTGATTTTAAAACTCCAGAAGTTTCCCAAAAGATTGTGCACCTATTTTTTGGGGTCAAAACACTGACATAAACGACAACTTGCTTCTGTACAGGGCGTCACCATTCCTGTTTTCCTTCGTCAACAGCGCTATATGTAAGACGCGATTTCATTGGATGCGAGCGATTGGCACCGCACGCAAATTTGAAGGCTCTGTAAACACGGCTATATCCGCCAAGGGTAGGTGGAGTGTATGCAAAGCGAACACTTGGCTAGCGAAGACGAGGAACCTGATTTTTCCTGTACATTGTACATGTATCTTTTTCACCCAGAGAGCCTGATGGTGCTGTCTTGCCATATTGGTACACGGATAAGTTATGACACTGTTGCAAATATCAATGTTTTCACATGTTGATGATTTTCCATCAAATATCATATATATATATACATTTGATGAGTATGGCAGAGTACTGATATCTTTCACTATAATGGTTTATTCAATTTACTGATTACGAGGTGAAAAAACTTTTCAGGTTTTGAGGATACATACCTTCAAGTAGTTTTGATTATTGATAACAACATTGCAAAAACAAATGAGGTTTGTAGAAAAATATCGAGAATCGGATTCTGTTACAGGTAATTGCAATCTCCGCTGATTTCACCTGCATTGGGGTTTTTTTGCTCAGTTTTACAGCCGAGTACAGGCTGTTTCCCCTTGCTAAAAAGTGTCTTATTTTCCCAAAATGACCAATTAATAATGATGAATATATTAATTCCCAATTTCAATAAAAAAAATAATGCTTTTTGTATTTCTCAATTCATTAAAAATAACAGGCTGTTGTAAAATTAAGTAAAACAAAACACACTGACCTGTGACAGTGTGCATGCATGTGTTATGACACTATTTTGCACATACGTATATATTGAAGACGGCCACGGTACCTCCCTGTTCATGAACAGGTACAAAATCTTTAAGTTCTGTCTATATTACAATTACTGTTACACATCTCACTGAAATAATACATCTATATTTGTGTACATGACCTTTTCATTTACAATCATAAATGTACCGGAGTATACATTTCCCTGTGGACACCTTTAATTTATAGCTTATTTAATGAGAATTTAAGTCTGGGCACTGATCATGATCATGTTTGACCAGAAGGACAATCCAGGAATCCGGTTGTAGATTTGACTATATATGTTATAGACAGCAGTTCAGGTTATCACTCAAACATTTTGCACAGGTTTCCTTAGAATTCATATGCTAGAGACAATGGGGATGCCCTTATGAGCTTAAATGTTTCCTAGCTAATATAGATCTAGATACCATGGAAACAGCATCAGAAAAAAACAATTACATTACCAGATCATAAATTGCATTTCCAGGGCTATATCTCGACAAGAGGCCCAATAGGACTGTATCGCACACCTTTTTCAAACATATATTTGGTGATTGTGTTAATTTCTTAAATTTGCATGATTCGAATGGGTAATTTTTGTCTTGCTGCCACGAAGAAGCGGTAGCGCCTGAGGCTTAAGTGTTGCTTTTGCGACGGCGTCAGCATTAAATTTTTGAGTTAAGTTTGTTTCACTGAAAGAATAAGTGCTAGACCAACCAAACTTGGACCATAGATGCATCAAAGGTAATACATCTTAACCCATGCATCCAAGGCTGGATGCAGCTTATAATTACCTTTCATGGCCCATTGATGATCTGATGACATTGTCATGATCAGTATATCAACATTAAGTTTTTGTGTTCAAGTAAGTTTCTCTGATATGTGCATTGATGGCCATGTTCAAAGCGGGGCACAGGCGAGACATATCAATCTGAATGGGCAATTTTTATACGCCCGTCAAATGACGGGACGAATTATGTTTTCACGCGGGCGGGGGAGCACACAATAGTTTCCACTCAATAACTTAAGTTTGGTAGGAAGGTTCATTGCCATAAAAGCTCGGACAAGTTCAATAACCAAAATTAATTGTGAGTTATTTACAGAGTAATGGCCCTTAGTAGAATTGCCGAAACAGTTTCTGCTCAATATCTTGAGTAGCTTTGAATGGATTAATTTCAAACTTCATAGGAAGGTTCATTACTATGAAAGCTTGCACAAGTTCGATAACCATTATCCGCTTGTTATTAATTAAGGGAGTTATGGCCGTTTATAGAATTGGCGTCACACTTTCCGCTCAATAACTTGAGAAATTTTGAATGGATTCATTTCAAACTTCAGCCATAATTTACGGACTTACGGTCTTTGGTAGAATTGTTGGAACACAATTCCTGCGCAATAACTTTATGCACTTACGGCCCTTTGTGGCAAACTGCTCATTCAATATCTGATGGGCATATCATGTACCGCTTCGCGGAACTCTTGTTCCAATTTAATGTCCCTATATAGCTCATGATCAGGGCCCCTATTTTTACTTACTGCTATTTCCAGAGCATGCATATATGTCAAACACTTTTGCAGATTTATTCCTCAAACTAAGAACATATTACATGTACTCCGTAAAGGGAGGTGCTTTTTCCAATCAATAATAAATATTTGAAATTATTTTGAACCTATAGCGTATGACGCTACATGTGTATTTACAATGATGTAATAATGGCCAAGTCGGTCAATCAGAATCATTTTAATGTAGCTATATATACATGTATAGCCATGAATTCAGGGGGATGGAGCCAAATAGGTGAAAATCTTCAAAATCCTACCCCTTCTGTATATATCGGGGCCTTCTGTATATATAGGGGCCTTATGTATATATAGAGGACAAGGGGTTTAAAGTTCAACCTTATTAGTTGTATATTAATTAGAGGATCTGAAAGCTCAGAAGAATTAATTTTGCATTTAATGTGAATGAAAGGTATTGTGACTTCCAAACCCCCTCACCCCTTGAGCTTCATTCCAACACCCTCTGTAAGTTTTGAGGCCAAGTAGTAGAGAAAATCAGGTGGGTTTTTTTACATAGTGAACTTCATTTAATATGTATTTAACAAATACTGTGACTTACTGTATAGGCTTGTATTTATTTAAGTGACCTCACTTGATCAGCCTAAATAAGGATACATATTATATATATACACACATGTACATGACAATGCATATATACATGTATAATTATACATTTAAAATTGTAAATGCATTGTAACACATACATTTGCCCTACATTTACATGCACAACCGATATCTAGCTACTTGAGCTAGTGCCTGGTAAATTGGCAAGGTAATTGCTGGCGTTATAAAT